CATAATGTAAATATAATGGAGTTAGATATTTTCCTTTTCCTAGGTGGTCAGATAAAATTATTTTTGAATTGCTTAGGAGATAGGGCAGTTAAGTAGGGAAAAGGTAAACCAACTGACCACAATAGAGGCAATATCAATAGTTCAGTACTGGAGTTTCCCTATACAGTCATGAAATATAAAAAAAAAATAGTATTATATCAATATTCAACATTGAAAGTTTGGGTTTCCTAGAAAAGTATGGTACATTTTGTTTATCTACAGGAAAAGATAGTTGAAAAGATAATAAATCAGTCTGTACTATTCATACACATATGCTTGTCAAGATAAAATGTGATGTAATTATAAGGATGATGTTAATGAGTGAGTTTAGATCCACAAACATTTTGTTCATCAAAAGAAAACAATACATAATATGATCACTTAACATTATAATGTTGGGATTATAGACATAGTCAAAATTTAGGATGTTTTACATCCTTTTAAAAAGTAAAGTGTCCCCATAATTAAGGCAAAAACTATTTGTTTCATTTAATATGTCTAATATTCCCATTTCTATACCTCTTTCTCCTAGGATATAAAAATATTTTTACAATAAATATTAGCAAACACCTATTAGTAATGCATTATAAATAAATATTACCAACAAAAATAAATATTACTTTTGGAGTTCAAAGAATTTAGAAATCTGGAAAAAAAAATCATGCCTACTGTATAGTAACAGCATACAATATCTCTGAGAAATGGTACTAAAATGTCTTTTTTAATGCTGGAAGAAACACACTTCTTCACTGTACAACGTATTTGTCCAATAAACAGCTCCAGTTGCTTAAAAATGTGCTGTAGAAATCTACTCCTTAAAATAACCACTGAATCCTTGATGTTACCTCCGTTTTGAGGATCTTTCCAACTTAATCTGAAATTCTTGCATAGAATCAGTCCCTAGGGAATCAGTGACCTAGGGAATTTGTGTACATTAAAAAGAAAAGCCTGAAGAAAGCACTGTGGGAGAGTCACCAGAAAAATATTATGTGTCCAGCCCACAATAGGCCTCCCCTGTGTAACATGCAGTGAGTAGGGGCTGGTCTTCTGGCCTTTATGAAGTTTGATTTTCTCATAAGTTTGAGATTACAGAACCCCTGAACTAAGAGGGCTGAATGAAGAAAACCACCTGTGTTCCCTCCCAAAGAAAATACACAGAAACTCAGAACCCATCAACTCAAACACAGAACTGTCCAATGAAGAATATATTCATGTTGTATGCTTCATAGAAGTGAAATTATTCTAAGACTAGAGGGTAGGGCACCGAAACAAGAGAAATGGGCTGACTGTGAAACACTTACTAGCACAGGACAGTGATAAATGCACAGCTCATCTGTCTTTGAAACTGGAACTCTAGGTTTGCTGGTTCATGATGGTTTTTCAGGATATACATCCCTGGAGAGCACTAGACTATATGACATAACTTGACTTTCAAAACTTGTTTGGCCAAGCTCTAACCGTTACCCAAAAGGAAGTATTTTTTCTTTAGAAATAAAATTTTGGGGAAATTTCACCCAGTCATGTCTCTGCTTTGATCCATAATATGTTGAGTTGATGGATTAAATATCATATTTCCAGCTTTGGGGGGGGAAAGAAAGGAGTAATGGTAAACACACATACACACATGGACCACCCCATTCTGAGCTATATTAACTTAAGTCTGAGGTGCTAAGCAGTTTGTCTTTTCTCCATTTGTACCCACTTAGCATATCTGACTTGCATTTAGGTAAGGCTTTGTCATTTGCCTCCCTTTCTCTGTCTCTTTGGATTTCCCTGTCTCTTTCCCTGCAAGCACCAAGGAAGAAACAGTATGTGTAGCTGTGCTATAGAACAGCCCACTTAACAGCACTTGAGGGAAATTGACTAGCAATGGGCATGCAGCCCTATTAGCTCTGCTGCAAATAACTCAAGTCATAGCAGAAACTACCTCACAAAAGGGTCAAGATCTCTTTCAGAACAAACCACTTGTAAACATTTAAACAGGAAACTGGTTGAGGATTCTAAACAGAGACATGAAGAGTTCCTAACATCATCACTATCTCTCTTAGAAGACAGAGCTCAACCCTTACATTAAACCTCTTTAAATGGAGGACAGAGAAATCAATGTCTAAATCATCAGCCACTGTAGGAAACATGCAGGCTTCCAAAGTATCATTTTTTATATAATCTTAAATATGTAAATGCTTTATTTGTGCTTGAATATCTGCTTATCCATAAACTTCAGGATGGCAAATACTCACTATGGTCCATACCCGTATTTGTTGGGCATATTAGATTTCGGTGCTTCTCCTCTTCTTAATATACTTAAATCTCATTTCTAAAGTATGTCTATTGCATTACTAGAAGTGATTATATATTCAGGTTTTCAATCAACTGGTTTACTTGGTTGGATTGACTATAAATTTGTTGACATATATTGATGACTCCTCATTTTCTTGCCCAGGGATTATTTCTTCTACTCATTTATTTTCAATCTCTCTACTTTCTTATTTGACAGTATCCTATGAGCAGCAAAACAGAGCACTCCAAGCTCATAAGGAATGGTGTAAACTAATTAGCAGATTTTATGATGGAAACTATTCCCCTCCCATGTGATCTTTCTGGTTGGATAATAAACTTTGTAAATATATACAGCTCTTACCACATGAAGGCAATACCTCATTCAAACAAGCTCCTGTTTTACCCTTAGATTTCAGTTCATAATTGTAGACATGGTTCAAATACAGAAATAAACTGTCAGTAAGGGGTGAGGTACTGTCTTAAAAATAAAATAGTCTAAAAAAATGGATTTTGAGTTTTAAAAAAATCTTGATCTTCTTTTGCAGCTGACAGAAAGAAAAATAGCCCTAATAAGATGTGTTTGAAAAAAATCTGTACTATGACTGAAAAGACAATGTATAACTGAAATACAGGGTAGTCAGAGGAAATTCTCCTGCATGCAGGTGTGCAGAAGCACTGAAGGGTAACTAACAAACCCTAAATAGAAGTGTTGACTAGTTTGTTATTGGAAGAAGATCCAGAAATAAGAGTGAAAATCAGTGCTGGCTCATTACATCAGCAGTGGATTAACAACCCCCACTGCTACAGTTTCCTTCAACAGCAGGTGGATGGTTAGACTACTCTAGCTTCTTGCCCCCTGGCCTGGCATAAAATGAGTCCATATCTTCTCCATGGATTCATGAATGACCACAAGTCATTGCAAGATGCATTTAATACCATGGTTGCCCTGCTTGCATTATTGTCAGATGTTCCTAGGTTGGAAATTTTATCCAGCAGTGTACTTGTGTTTGCTTACCACAGGTATGATTTTCTACCAAAACACCATGAACAAAATTCAAAAATAAGTTAAAAGAATAGGGAGAAACCAAGAACAAATTTTCTATATCTTTATAGTCTTTTTCATGAATGCAGTTCATTCACTTTAATGCTAATTACCAATGTAGAAATATTATAATACAAACAAAGTATTGCTAACCTCATAGGTAAAGAAATATGGATTAAAAACAAATGGCTGAAATGCCATCTACAAGCTCTCTACCATGCATATAGTAAATTCCATATAAGTTTGGGTATGGAACTAGAAATATTGCTTATCATGACAGTACACATAAACAACCCTACACAAGAAAGCATTAAACATATTTAACAATTCATTTCAAATTTGAATTATTTGCAGATGGCATCCAGTCTTAATATGTATAGATATTTTATAGCTTTACCTAAACATAAATAATATATTTGTCTGATGTACTAATGCCAGAGGCATATTTTTATTCTGATGAATATTTCATCATCTATGACTGCCTGTAAAATTTAAGTATTCAGTATGATAAAAAACAAAACATCCCTATGTGGGAATAATAGGAAATAATCCATTTCATAAAAATAATAATTAGCTTGCCATATTCCATTACTACTGACCAATTACTATGGTGTTGAAGAATTCCTTTAGACTGAAAATTTTCTTTGGGTTGAAGAAAATCTGTAGAATGAGGTCAGGAAAGTCATATTTCTCATGTGTTTGGGCAGAAAATTTCAAGACTTTCAGAACTTAGATTATAGAAAAAATTAAAAAGATAGAACTTTCTATTATAAGATGAAAATAAAGGATAAGAGGGCTACTTAGTGATGCTATTACAAGTATGAAGTACGCATATTTAGACAAAAATAAAAAAAAATAAATATCAAACCACATATAAACAAAACATTAACAAGGAAAATGGTTCATTTAAGAACACAAGTTTTTTTATAAGTTTAAATTTCACATAGCATTGTTGACACTGGTCAAATAGTATACACTAAAATATACTTAGAGCATACAATAAGTATGTACTATTTGAGTCTTCATAAATGATGCTAAAATAACATTTCCTCTTTCAATAATTTTATTTTAGCAATAAAAAAATGTATAGATGTTAGTCAAATTCATGTTCCCAGTAGATTTTAAAAGCTTCAAAGAATACATTTGATGAAATTTGCATTTGATTTGGAAAAATGTCTGTTTAACAATTCAACATGGCCATATTTTAACTTTTAAGCTCTCACACTGAGAAAGTATCAAGGTATTGTAGCAATTTACTCTTAGGAACATTATGCTGGGCTTTGAAATTCAAAATATAGACTATTTCTTCTTGGATTATTTTATGATCAATGTACAGTCTAAGCAAGGAAAATTAAAGCTGTCTGACAACTCATAGAAACATCACTGGCTGTTAAAGATGTAGGAAATTGCATAAAAGCATGAAAAGCACTGGGCAATTTTGCAGTTTCATCTCTAAACACAATTGTAAAGACGTCTGTCTTTCAATTCTTTCTCCCTCTTTCTTCAGAAGCATGGCCTTTTAGTTCTTGCCCTTTTAAATAGCTTTGCCTACTGTAGCTTTGCTTCTTAATGTACTGGTTGATCTTACTAGGCAAAGAAAGTATTTACAGGGGATGCTTGCTTTTATCTGTATTCACAGAGAATGCTAACAAATTAGAAGAAAGTGCCAGAGAACACCACATACCTTGTCCAGAACATTACAATGGCTTCTGTATGCATGGGAAGTGTGAGCATTCTATCAACATGCAGGAGCCGTCTTGCAGGTAATGTTTTCACTCCTAGACTTTTAAAATGTGTAGGTAAAACTAAGTTTTAAATGTTTATGGAGGCTTGGTGGCATTCTGCTTGAATGAATTATCAGCATCAGAACATCTCTCTGCCTTTCTTATACATACATACACACACATGTATGTGCAGGTGCATGTGTGTGTGTGTAGAGGGAAGCTGTGCACTCAGAAACCATAAAATGTGTATGCCTTACACACTCAAGTACCATGTAACACATTGCAATATACACACTTCTAGTGGAATTTAAAATTGTACTTTGCACATTACAATATACATGAAGATACAGGCTATTCATTATTATGTACACTCTTTTCCTTGAACATAGAACAGTGCTTGACGCTGTTCATTAAATATTTCAAATGAGTAAATGCTACTTTAGGAAGGTGATCATTTCAAAAGTCCTTCACCTCCTAATAAATATCATTCTTGGTGTTGCCAGGCACTCAGTCACTGTTTTCTATGGATCTGCTATCCATTCAGCTTTTCGGAGTGAGATGAGTAGCCACACCTCTATAGTAGAGACACAAAGAAAACTTGCTCCACAAAGGGTTGCCCCAAGCCTTCAATTTGTGCAAAGCACAGTATCTGTAAACACAATAAAGAGAAGCACAATAAAATGGAAGAAAACAAGAAATCGCTTGTCTGAATTTGGTTTATAAATATCTGCTGACTATTTTATCTGGGACATAGTATAATTATTTCAGAGATGGACAAGCCAAAACGGGGAAAAAATGTATTTTAATGAAATCAGTATAAAAGTGACATATGACAAAATAGTTAGTTTTAATACATAAATACATAAAAACACTCTTTCTGGTTCTTCCCTCCCTCTCTCTTTCTGCCCCCTCCCCTCTTCCCCTCCCCTCCCTTCCCCTCCTCTTCTCTTCTCTTCTCTTCCCCCCCCACCCCCCTGAGATTGTCCTCCTTTCCGGTTTCCCTACACTGTAGGCATTAGCACCTGCCTCCTAGTGACACCAGGCAGAGTGCACATAGTGGAGAGATTAATTATCTGCTGCTCCCACTCTCCTCTGTAGTCTCCATTGTTAAGCCCTTCCTGATGCACAGAACAAGACTCCCGGATGTAGATAGGAGAAATTCAAGATCTAATACTAAAATAGTTCCAAAAAACATCAATGACAAGTCAATCCCCTTTAGTATTTTTTTTCTGAAATGTTTCCTCATTTCATTGTCAAATGCTAATTTTAATATGCAAATTTCTACCTGAGCTTGTGGTTAGTTGTTGAGTAAGTGAGAGGCAACATTCATTCCCAGAGGAATCATACATGAGCTTGTTTTGCAGAACTATATGGCCACTATCAGAATTACTTTTTTTATCTCTATTTTTTTCTTTTCATTTGCTTATTTTTTTTTTAGTTTGAGATGGGATCCCACTCTGTTAACCAGGTTGCTTTTGAACTTGTGGGCTCAAGTGATCCTCCTGCCTCAGCCTCCCAAGTAGCTGAGACTATAGGCACACAACACTGCATCCAGCTATAATTGCATTTTTCTAACAAATTCTAACTCCTCAACATCAACATCAGCACATGATTTTATGATTAGCAAATTAAAGAAATAACTCTTGCTATACCTCTGGTTTTAATGTTTTTCAAAAAAATATTTCCTGATAATAGAGAATGCTTTACTTTGGGACTTTTTGGTTGTTTTTGTTTGTTTGGTTGGGGTTGGTTTGTTTATTTGTTTGTTTGGGTACCCATGTTATAAGAATAAAACTTTTTCTCAAGTATACATATTGGCTTAGGTTGATTAAAGAGCAAATTAAATAAAATTTAAAGCTTACCTGATAAATAAAAACAGAACAATTCTCCCTGAATGGGTATCCTCTTCTGTCTGTATTGTCATAAAAACAATTTGTCTAGCAATACCATCTTCTAAATTCAGTTTTAAATATAGAAAGGGACCACACATCTTCCAAATTACAGATAAGTTGAAAGAAAATAATTGAGAACAAAAAAATTTCATGGTGAAGATCAATGTCTATTAGTCAACTATAAAAATGAATCCAGAAGCTACAGGTAACAGGATACTGTAATTTCTTCCAGGTGTGATGCTGGTTATACTGGACAACACTGTGAAAAAAAGGACTACAGTGTTCTCTATGTTGTTCCTGGTCCTGTACGATTTCAATACGTCTTAATTGCAGCTGTAATTGGAACAATCCAGATAGCTGTCATCTGTGTGGTGGTCCTCTGCATTACAAGGTCAGTAACTTTACTTGGTGACTCAAATAAAGGGATGCATTGTTCTTCCTCTTTCGAATCAGATTTGTCTGGTTATATAGTCCCTTAATGAACTCCATAGCTATCCATTCTCCATAAGTCCTGATTCCTCATCATAAGACTTTTTGAATAGTCAAATGGAAAGACATGGATTTTCACATTGGACTAGTACAAACTATTTTTTTTTAATTTTTGCGTTATGATGAAGATTATTTATTTTCTAAGCAAAAGTCTTTTTTAATCCCTTCTAATATACAATGCTAACCTTTCTTTAAATATATCTTTCTCTTCTAACTACTAGCCCCTGTAAATGACTAATGTATCCTTACCTACCCAGATCAGTATGCCAAATTAAATGAGGGTATATTTTATACAAGGCCCATAAAGGTGTTACATTGGAGCTCTCATTTATAGCACTTATATTTCTAAATGTAAGTCTCAGATATAACAATTTTAACATACTTGGTATAAACATCAAATACTTTGTATCTTAAGGTGACAAAATAACTTTTAATCACAAAATTCAAAAATCATTGTAATGAGAAAGATTATATTGTAGTAAATGAAGACTTTTAATACATGCAATCTTTAATGCAATGCAACAAATATCACAACAAACTTTTATATCAAACACCCTGTCCAATCAGAAGGTAATTATTTCCGAAGGAATAAGGTCGAGAAAGAGTGGAGGTTCCATCCAGTCTCAACAGGAAAGCAAAGTATGTAATGTCTGTCATTGGGCTTGGAGTAACTGAGTGAGGCCAGGGACCTGCTTGATTTAATTAGTGTGTGACCCATGGTAACCAAGAGTTAGATTCTAAACCAAATGCCTATCATCCATGTCCTGTGTAACCAGAAACGTTATTGAAGATACTTCTTTCTAACAATATTTCACTCACCTTTATAAAGTTCCAAGGAAGTTCTTTAAGGTTTTTGCCAAATTCATGAGGCATTTCACTCATTTGTACAGCTCTCCAGTAGATCTGAATGTTTCCCAAAAAATTATTTTCAAAGAACAAGAAAATGAAAAAATATCATATCTTTAGAAAATAAAGGTCATAATACATCTCACTCTCTGTATTTCACTGTCTTCTTTGAGGATAAGTGTGGCATTTGCTCTTGAAAAAAACAAAATATGATTCATAAATTCTCACCTGACCTAGAGGCTTAAGGGATGATCATCGACTGCAGCTTTGTGCTGCTCTAAGCCAAGCTGAGTTTGTTAACTGCACTCTCCTGTTTAGATGGCAAGTGAGTCAATGGATTATATTAAAATAGATTCTGGAGAACATAAAGATAACTCAAGCAACCAGAAATACTGAGTATTAAAAAGAAAAGATAGATAAGAATCTGAAACACAGAAAACTGCATACTACTTTAAGGGTCTTGAGCTTTCTAATATCCAAGCAATATCAGTACATGAAAAACAAAATTCATCTTTAGTGGATATGATATCATAACAATTTGATTGCTACTTCATATATTTTTTAGAAAGGCAAACTTTCCATACTTCAGCAGATGTTTCCAACTCTGCTATTAATTACAGTTTCATCCCATAAATAATAAAAACAAAGGGATACACAGGGTTCTTGCTTCACCAAGAATTGTGTGTATGTGCACGTGTGTTGTGTGAGTGTGTGTGTGTAGACTGTGTGTGTCATTGTGCATAAATACACATGTGCACATTTAATAACATTACAAAGAATAAACAATTATCCTCATTTTTTAGGTAGAGATTCTGAGGTCTGAGAAGTTAGCAAAGTGTCAAGTTCATAGAGTTGAGTGATAAGAACAAAAGAGATGTCTGGCTATCTGGTTTCAGACCTGTACCACTGCTTATACTACCTCGTGTCTGATTCTGACCTCCAAATCAGAATAAACCATGTTTTCAAGCATATGGCATTTTTCATTTTCCATGTTAAATTTAACACAAATCTACATTTACTTTTTAGGAGGAACAATAGCATTTGAACTAGATTCACATTACCATAGTGTACTTTATAAGTCTGTCCTCAGACCACCAAACATTTCAAAGCCTCCAGGAGTCACACTCATCAGTGAGCTACACCAGTTCCTAGGGTGGATCCATTTCATTTATTCTGCTTAGAAACCATTCCCCCTCCCATTTGAAACCTTTCTAACCTGGTGATCCTGCAACCCTTGTTTGTCCAAAATTATTTCAAAATATTCAGGTGCTAAAACATTTACAAAATAACACCAACCAGATATCCACTCATTCTTTGCAATTTTCTTTCTCACCAGTCTCTTCTCTCCTCCCTCCTCCATCTTTTTACCATCACCTTTCTTTTTTCCTTATCTCTTCATCTTTATTTCAGTCAAACACCTTCACTCCTCCCAAACAATGTGTGTCACAACAAATATGGACACTAGAGACAAGTTCCAAAATGAAAAGAGTTGTCCTGTTGAGAAGTTAGACTTTTAGTCTTTTTATCTCTAGCTCCCACTTTCTAGGAATGCAATTTCCTGCTCCATCTTCATTTATGATGGGTATGTGTCCCCACCAATCTACACACACATATACACACAAACACACACACACACACATACACACCTTCAAACAAACAAACAAACCATGTATCTACTATGTAAGTGTCTGCATACATATGTGTGTGTGTGTTTATATATTCTCTGAGACCCCATAGCTTGTTATCATGGGGTTTTTATGGGAATTTTATATTGTTCCTATTTGCATGATCAAAACAATCTTCTATTACAAGAGAAAAAATACTAGATCAGAGATTTTCAGATAATTTGACTGAATATTAGCTTTTTATAGAAGCTACATAATTGGTATCCATTTATGTCTCCAGCTGATAGTGTTCATGCACAAAAAAAATGGTTATTAGGCTAAACCAAAACAATATTCCTTCCCATTATATATCAGGTATTAACAGTTGGCTCATTCTCTGGTGTGATAGAATTTTAACTCGTGGGATTGAATTGTCAATATAACATTCATCCTTAAGACATTTAGAATATGAAATTGTTGAAGACCTTTAAAGCGAGATTCGATGAGCTCACGATTTGCTTGATTGCATTGTGCTGAGTCTGTTCGTTGTGCCTTAATGAGTAAGCATTTGAGGACAAGGTAAATGTATTCCTCTTCAACTTCCAGTTCTGTTCTTCCGTTCTCAGCAGACACTTAAAGACGACCTCAAGGAGAAGCAAAACATAAAGTTTCTAAAATAATCCCAGCTTCTACTAGTACTTAATTCTTTCATCCAAGACATTTAAATAACTTGCTTAATCCACAACTTCACTCTGTAATTGTAGGACCAAACTTTAGGTAATCTCATTGGACTAAGATCTGTAAACTTTCCAACCTTCTAGGAAATGCCCCAGAAGCAACAGAATTCACAGACAGAAGCAAAACACAGGGCACTACAGTTCAGACAACACAACCAGAGCGTCCACGAGGTTAATCTAAGGGGAGCATGTTTCACAGTGGCTGGACTACCGAGAACTTGGACTTCACAATACAGTATTATAGACAAAAGGATAAGACAAGAGATCTACACATGTTGCCTTGCATTTGTGGTAATCTACACCAATGAAAACATGTACTACAGCTATATTTGATTATGTATGGATATATTTGAAATAGTATACATTGTCTTGATGTTTTTTCTGTAATGTAAATAAACTATTTATATCACACAATATAGTTTTTTCTTTCCCATGTATTTGTTATATATAATAAATACTCAGTGATGAGAAAAAATTGGCATTCTTAAATCTGCGGTATTTCCTAACTCTGAATATAATCCAGCTAGTACAATCTGTACAGGTACCAGTATTTTATCTCTTTCCACATCTGGAGACAGCACATTAGTTTATACAGGACGCGGTGGCTAAGTTTTGAGTGATTCCAAGATCAAGGGAAATGATGGTTATTGGAAAAGAGAAAAAATAATTTACTTTATATCGAGTGAGGATAAAATATTTCTGATCTTTGAATCATTTCTATTTCATCTACATTCTTCCCTGGTCTTCCATTTTCATCCCCAGAGCAGAAAATCTAGGGCATATAAATTAAATCAAAGAAGAAGGGGAGGGAAAGTATTTTATAACTCATAAAGGAGAGGGAAAGAAGATATTGGTTTTATTTGGGAAACGGCTAAGAATCTCCCAGTTAAGTGTTTTTATCCGAAGGGTCCTGAGTGAGTTAATTATTAGGTATACACACAGTGGAAAAGTCTATTCCATTTAGGTGAATGGAATTAACAGTGAGGGGGAAAATTTAATAACTCGGTAAATTGCCAAAATTGTGACTTCTCAGAAACACCTCACTATATTTGTAGTATGAGATTTTGAAAAAGAAGTTAGGCTTACAACCAAATACCCCATAAATAGCTTTACGACTAATGAGGCACCATTATTTAGAATGGAATTAAGACAATGACAATATTGCATGAAAACAGACAATTAATCCCATAGCATCTGAAGGATGTTAGTGAAATTCTGGTGTTGATTTTTGTTTGATTTAAGCATATGAATAACTATGGCCATTTTAGGGAAAAAAATAAATTATGAATATTCTCAAGGAATAAGATTAAAATAACTAATCAAATAGTTGCCTTATTATATTTATCACTGGATAGCTTTCCATGGCTCATACAGTAAATTTAAATAAAGCTTTCTTTGTATCCTTCAAGTGACCTCTCTGTCTACCAAAAGGAATGATGCTCCTATGTCCAAAAAAAGGACACAAATATCAAACCAATATATTCTGAATACAAAATTATTCAGTGAAAAATAAATGTATAAGGTATTTGTTAAAACATAAAGGTGACAATATAAATGGGATTTAAGACATTAAAAAATCTGGTTTTCCAGATCAGTCATAGTTTGAAGGGTGTGACTGTATTGGCATAACCATCACTCAAATTTTTTTATATAGGCCAGTCCTGTGATACTTGGATAAGACAATTCCTTTTAAACTGCTGCATGGATGTTTCATTTGATTGACATGTGCATAGGTAGAACTAACCCTAAGATCCTTTAAAAGGTAGTAGTTATGGCAAACAAACTCTTTCTCCTCCTAAAGAAGGAAAAAGATTTGGTAATAACTGAGATATATAGAGGTAAGGAGAAATAACAATTGCAGTGACTTTTGCTTGTAAGTTTATAAAATGACTAGCTTGGTTAAATATTGATGCATTACTATGATTTTTTCTCTCATTGGAGATTGTACCCAGGGGTGCTTTATGGAGATTGTACCCAGGGGTGCTTTACCACTGGGCTACATCCAAAGCCCTTTCTATTTTGGGACAGGGTCTTGCTAGATTGCTAAGGCTGGCCATGAACTTGTGATCCTCCTGCCTCAGCCTCCTGACTGTACGTGAATTTTTATCAAAGATGATAAAGCCTAGTGTTAGAAAACTCCTTAGTACACTCTTGCCCACCTCCATGCCCACCCTCTTCATGGATTCCCCTTTAAAAGCTGCATAAAAAGCCTTAAGAGAGCATATACCATGTGCAAGGTATCTTGAATACAAGATCCTAGGGAGATACAAAAGAAACATTCTTTCTCATGTAAAGAAACTCACCATGAAGTACTAACAAATAATCATTCAGCTTCTACTTGCACATTTCTCACCATTTGAAATTTCATTCTTGGACAATTCTAATTTTCTAAACAATTCTTTCTTATATTGAGTTGAAATTCACTTTTTTGTGGTCTCTCCCAGTGGTCTTTCCTATTTTTCCCTCCCTAGAAGAAAGGAATAATGACTTATATATTTAAAATAAGGAAAGAGATAGTGTTTTCCCTCTCAACCCATATCCTTTTCAGGTATTTTCTTCTCTAAGTGAAGCATCTTAATTTCTTCATCTGCTCTTCATGTGATGTGATTCCCACACCTTCATCATTCTCCCTTGACTTTACCTTGACTTATTTCAAGTTCAAATTTCACTGACTACTATAAAGTCAAGTGGTCTGACCAGCAAAGTTTATAATAGAACCTGAAGAGAACCTTTGACTAAGAGCCATGGTTTCTAAATTCAAGTCACTTTGACTACAAATTTGCTGTGGATCCACAAGCAAATCATTTCACATCTCAGGCTTCATTTTCCTCATAAAGAGATCACTTTATCTCTCTAATTTCAGTAGTCTATCTATTCAGGAAAAAAAAAAAAGGCACTACACTTTTATCATTGCTGCCCAAGACCACATTGTTTTTGTTACTTATCCTAAATCTAAATTCAAAACACTTTCAACTAATAAGCCACATCATTCATTCATTCATTCACTCCTTTATTCATTATGAATTTACTGTACATTTACTGTGGGTCACCAATTGCAAGCACTATGCTGGACCATGAGATGACAAAAGACAGAGTCCCTGTCTGAAAGGAACTCACTATCATATCATCTGGTATCTTGCACCCAAGATCTCACCATCTGAAGCGGGAAGCAGGAGTAAATTTAAAAATATAAAGAAGGCAACAAAGACTACGATACTGATCAGCTCAGATTCTCGGGAGCCCTGAAAGGGGCCCTCCAGGCTGGTTAGTTTTGCCTTTTCACTGTGTGGCATTCCATCATTCTCCGTGCACACTTGGCTGTCTGGTTCTACGATCTTGTCCATGTTCTCAACACACCTTCAACATACCCAGAGCAAATAACGCTTATTGGCGTTGTGTTCCCTCTGTGATTCCCTTGACAGTCCCTTATTTCTGTCATGGGACTCTCCAAGTTTTTCCTTAATTGTCCATGCAAGCCTGCCTTGCCCTTAGCCTGGAAACAATGAGAATTCAGAAAATTAATGACTTGCCATTTTTTTTTTCATTTACTTAACAAACATTTATTGTGAGCCTACACCATGCCAGACACATTTCTAGGTGTTGTGATTTAGCAGTGAGGTAGAAAATAGGCCTGTGCTCTCAGGCTCACCTTGTAACAGAGGAGGGGCGGGTTGGGGAGAGGAGAGGAGAAGATTCATCAAACAACAAACATCACTGGAAAGTTTTTCATTCTGCTTGAGGAATTAAGAACTAAATGAGGTGATTCAGGGTGCCATTGTTATTAATGGGGATTGGGTGTCTCCAATGGGGGTATAATATTTAAAACTTGGTCTCTGAAACAAGGCAGATGTGGGTCCTTAGCTCCACTTTGCTATTTAATCTTAGGCAATTTGCTTAATTTTTTTTACACCTCATATTTACAATGGAGAAAGATCTTCCCCAGTCCCACAAGACTAATATGAAAAATAAACATGACAATCAGTGTTTGGGCTCAAAATAGTGGCATACACAGAGTTCACTTTCAATGCATGGGAATTATTTTTCGAGGGATATGATAAATATTTTTTTGTAAAAGTAAATAGATAAGAAGAAGAAATCATGCTTCTTCAGCCAAGTGATGCATTATGGGAATCACAGGGTCAAAGTTAGATGGCACTGAACAAGCATGTGGATTCCCAGGAGAACCTCTTGTGTCCCCGGAGATAAGAAAGCTTGTTTTGGATCTGAGAAAATATGGCAATATAGAGTTAAAAACACAATCTAATTTATCTAGGTTTTATTTTATTTTTTCCCCAAAGCATCCACTAGCACTATATCTGAACAAGAAAGGGGATCTTTTTTTTTTATTTTAAAATAGGTCTATCCTGATAAAATGCATATTAATACTCCAGTGTGTTTCAAGATGCAGGATGAGTGAGTCAGTATTGCAAGGACTTTGCAGGACAATATCTTTCCCTGAATGGATTCTTGAGAAGCCAGTGCAGACAGCTGAAATACGACAGAGACTATCTCAAAGTCATATTAAACTCTGCTAATATTTGTCTTCAGATGTGATCTCTTCTTGCCAAAGTCACACAGCACCTGCACCAAGTACTCTTCCTCAATCACAGTAAATACTTCACCTATGTAATTAACCATCTGGATATTAATAATGAATTAATTGATAACTTAATCTAAGCATCCAGAGGAAGCTTATGTACAGGATAGGTAGAGGAAGGCTGAAGGATTATATAAAGTAATAATCAATGCATAGTTATGCAAATGAACATATCCCTTTGAAATCGGCTTCAGAAAGGTAAGTGAGATATGTCAGGCCTCCTTTCAACCTCACTATGGACAGAAATCTCCCTTCCTGGCCTATCTATGCTGGGAATGAGTCCTTGGTTGATGTCTATCTGCTGCAATACTGAATAAGTGAACTTGAGTTTCTTGTATTCTTTTAGCTATTTAATTCATTTTCACTATTTGTTTTGCATTAAATAAGAAATGAAGGAAACAGTGTTTCCCTTTGTTTTTCCAGGCCAAATTCCATACAGGACAAGAACCTAAGTCAGAGTTAATTAGCAGTCCCAAATCAGGCATGATGGGGAAAGTTGAGAGAGAGGCAGGAGCAAGGTCTGGCCTCTGTTCCTTGGGATCAATCCCACTGTCATATACACTGCAGTTTGTAAGATCCTTCACAGATCCCTCCAGAGGAGGCCTAATGACAGCCATCCAGGCAGCAGCTCTCAGGACCTATACAATCAAACCCACTCTTGGGGAAGCATTTTGAGATGTTTCATGTCCTTCTTGTCTGTAGATGTCTCCTCTTGTTGGGATTCCTCCCATTCTTAAAGTACTAACTGCCTGTATTTTCTTCACCCCATGAAACATCCATCCTTGGTTACAGTCCTTTTCTGCCACAATCCAACCTAATTCTCCTCCATGAACCTAGAGGAGCCTTTTTGTATTCCAGATTTTTATGAAAACAAAGCACAGAGTAATGTCCCAATTTTTCACAACCATATGTCAGATTACTAACAAATATATTAATAAGTGATTCTTCCTTGACTAGGTTAAATTAGAAAATATAGATAAATCAAAAACATACCAAGACCAAGAGAAACATCATGGTATTTGTGAATACAGTTTCAATGAATATATGTCCAAGCTTAAACATGTTACAAAACTAAATAAAAAGAATAGAAAATATTTTATTACTTAAACAGGGGAGTATACAAATAGCTGCCACTGATTACCTGAGCTAAAGCTAGCTATTAGAAAAGTGCATTGAATTTTACTGGATGAATTGGTCCAGTGAAGTCTATTCAACTACATGTTTTGTGGGTCACTTTAAGGAGAATTTTAATAAAAACAAAAATAAAGAGAAAACCTCTCCAGCCATTAGGAAATACAATAACCTCCTTACTAACTTGTGGGGAGAAAAAATTCTTAACTAGAAGTCACTTCATCTGTTGACATGCATGACCTCAGACCAATGACATGTCATGCAAAAATCTCTCAGAGTGGGAAATGGCAACTTGAAAGACAGGAAGAAAAAACAGTGAGCAAGAAAGAACTAGTGAGAAATCAAAAGCCCTGGCAAGGTGAGCAGGAGAGAGATAGCAAACAATTGGATAGGAAGGAGCAGAGCAGGGCAATTATGGGAAGCAGATTTTGAGAGTCAGGTTATTCAAATATTTTTCTAGAAGAAAGGCATCTAAAACATTGGAACAAGGTTTCAGAATGTGAAATGGCAGCCAGAAAGCAGGGAGCAGAGGCCTCAGAAGGCCTCCTGCCCTGAAATCTAGGGAGGCTGACCTGCTGTGCACTCAGGGTTTGCAGGCAGAGGAGCTGGCTTGGCAAGCTGGGCAGAATGAGGCCAAGGCACAACTCTGCCTCTGGGTGAGGCAGAGAATGTGTTTGAAATGAAAGTTCTGTCATGTGCATATTTTCTTCCTCACAAATCTTGACCTCGAGATATGTAGATTAGATTCTTTATATTCTGCAGGGCAGACTTATCCCAAAGCACTAGATCTGCTCTACAGATAAAGAAGAAAGGAACAGCCCTTGCCCTCCACCCAGAGGCCAGCCCTCCCTCTCAGGGCTGTGCAAGAGCTATGACAATCACAAATGCAGGCTTCTGGGATGGTATCTGATCTGGCTGCACTTGGAAAACAAAATCCTGGGATCATAAAGCAGTCCTGAGTAGCATTAGAAAAGACA